CAGTAAATTAAACTAAAAGAATAAAGCAGGATTAAGATTAGCCCCAAAGGTCAAAGTCTCTGGATTGGATACCATTTCCTTGTTAACCTATTATGTACATATATGCTTCCAGAGTCTTTTGACAGAAATGTGCAACCTAAAGTATGCATTAATAGCCATTATAACAATTGGAGAGAGACACAAGCACAACACAAATATTCCCTAGGCAGAAAGAATAGGCATTTATTAACAATTAACAGAAATATAAAATCACTATATAACCCACAGCTACCATTATCATATGACATTATACGGGCCAGTTACTTAACTGCTTGAATGTTGGTTAAGCCAGCAATAAAATGGATAATAAAATACTGCTGCTGTCTAAAATAGCTTTTGTGTCTAATTAAAGATAAAAAAGTGGAAGAGATGCCAAAGCTTAGCCTGTGAAGTACAGAGAACTTTTTTTCATTACTTGGTTGAACTGTGTGTTACATGCATTTCTAGATAAATGACCACCGCCCTGTTTTACCCCAATAAAAAGCTGTTGGATGCTACAGTGATGGAAAAGGAAAGGAGGGTGGTGTCTTCTCCAGCTAATTCTTTCTCTTCCCGGTGGCTTTTATGAGGTCTTGCCACCCCCCACCCTATGATTATTTAAAACTATTTTTACATATATGTGTATGTCTCTCCCTGAGTTGTATGTCTATATATTTGCATGTGTGGTTTTATAATGTATTTTCAAGTTTTAGTGTTTGCACACTGCTCAGAAAGGTCAGGCACTTGGGTGGTAAAGAGATGCCATATTATGCCAATGAAAAATATAGAATGGCATATGCTTTATTACAGCAGGAATAAGGAACCTCTTTTAGCCCGAAGACAGAATACCATTTTTGAGATGCTCTTGGGTACTGCATTCCATGTGAAGGCAAGGCTGAAAGCAAAGACAGTGAGATAAAAGGCAAACGAGTGGCCCAAAATAGAAAAAGATCAGCATATCATGATTTAAATCTTTTTAGCCAGTAACAAAACCTTTCCCTTCGAATAGGAAAAAAGGTACTTGAAAGCTAGGAAAACACAACATGATCAGTGGACAGGAAACAACGTATGGCCATCTGGGGAATAAAACAAAAGAGAAAATACTCTCAGGTGCCTGAATACTGATTCCACTACACGTTTTTTCTGGGAACCTCAGAACCAGTTTAGGGTCGAAGGTAGACTGGAGTTGACGCCTTGGTCTGAGGTGGTTCATGTTGGTGGTGTCTAGATGCATTATAGTGCAACCCTCAACATCACCTGCCAGCATCACCATTGGCCATGCTGGCTGGGGAAGATGGGAGTCATAGTGCAACACACCTGGAAAGCATCATATTGGAGAAGAATGTTCTTATATCATCACTCATGCTGAATCTCATTTATTTTATTACAAAGTATTTCAAATGGTATATATGTCTTTTGGAGCTTGGATTCTTTTCCTGGCCATAATTAAAATTTCAGTTATTACCACTTGTAATCCATCCTACAATCCCACTCAGTCCAACTCATCTCTGGACATCTGCCTCCTAAGCATCTAAGGGAAAATAAGGGCTGGGGGGAAGTAGACCGGGGCTAATTTTTTACACTGCTGTTCCATGCATGTTGCATCCATGTTGGACTACTGTAACATGCTTGACATGAGTTTGCCCTTGAAAACTTTTCAGGAAGTTCAGTTGGTCCAGAATTCTGCTGCCAGACTGTTGACAGGGCACAGTTACTGAGAAGATGCTGACTCCCTTATTACAACAGCGTCACTGGCTGCTTCCAGATATGAAGTGATGGATATTTCTTCACAGCTCTGTATGACTTGGAAAGGGCTCTCTGAAAGGCTGCCTTCTCCCTTGTGAATTTGCTTACCAGGATTTTAAGTCCCTTGGGAGAGACCCTTCTTTCAGGATTTGGTACAAGTACAAGAGGAATACTTGGTGGCTATGCAAGTGAGAACCTAATTTGTGGGATGCTGTCAGACTTTGAAACTCCCTACTCCTCTTTCACCAGTATGTGAAGAAGTTTCTGTTCAAACAGGTCATTGGCCAATAAAATGGTTTGTTGAGTCTGGCACTGCTTTATTCTGTAATTTGCGGTGTGTTTATATATGTGCTTTTGATGTAGTTGTTTAATTATTGTCTTAATTACACACACCCGCATATATGATTGCTGATAGCCTTGAGTGTCATTTTCTGGGCTGAAAGGCAAGGAATATAATATAATATAATAAACATGTTTACTCAGAAGTAATCCCCATAGGGCATACATTCTTATGGGCATGTATAACATGGAAGGCTTTAGCAACTTTCAAGAGGGAATAAGATCAAGCTAAAGAAGCAAAGCACTGAATGTTGGAAAGACAGAATCTTCTCTGACCACCACTGCCTTCATCTTTAAGCCATCAGGCTGCAGCAAGAGTAGTGAGAAGGAGCAGGGCCACCAACAGCTTGATCTCCTTCAGACTTCTACCTCATAAGTTTGCAAAACTGCTCAGAGTGTCCTCTGGGCTATCGGGGCAGGATACAAATGCAATAAATAAATAGAACTAAGCACCCAAGTTTACTTTTGCTCCTTTTCCCTCCCAGTCTCTTTCATATCATGTCTTTATAAGAATTTAAGCATAAAGGCAAATCAGTCTCTTAGAACTGATCATTATATGCTTCTCTGGGAGCCCTTTTAGCAGAACTTGGATTGATGGGGCCGGTGAGGAGAGCATTCAAATACAGAAAAAGTAAGTGTCTACGGAACACTGCTGACATAAAATATGGGCAATCTAGACCATTTTATGGCTCATCTATAGATAATCAGTGACTTCTTCAGCCTTGTGGTCTATTTTCTTTTAATTGGAATCTCTACTGTATAAAAGGTTAAAAAGCAAGCGATCAATATCTATGCACATTCCAGATACTGAGCAGATAGGTTATCATAACTTATGTATGTTAAGAAGCTTTGAATGTGCATTCTTAAGAATGCAAGGAAAAGCAAGGATTTGTTGGATCAGTCCAAAATACCCCTTTTCAACTCTTTCAACATTCTCTTCAACAAAACCTGCTAGTAGCAGGTGTTAAGTGGTCCCTTAGTGGACTGCAGGCTGCCTTTTGCCCACCCTGGATTAATACATTTTGACTGGTTACTACTACTTATTTGGATACTGCTTTACAAAGAATGTGAAGAGTTCTGCTTGGAAAATACTTGCAAAGATACTAAAAGGGAAAAGAATAGTTGTGGGGTTTTTTCATATAAATATATAGGTTTAGTTTAATATGTGGAGACTGTTGCAAAGTCGCTTCTTAACCAATCAAGAAGAATAAATAAAAGGAAATGCTCTGATTCATGTTTTTATATTATATAAAGTCTATTATATGACAGAAACAACACAGCACCAAAAATAAAAAGTGCACCCTTAACTGCTCCAAGAACTTCTACTTGGTACCGATAATTATTTTGCCAAAGCTTTAGTTGATCAATTTGCTTAAGGTGGACGGGTCTCCCACCCGCGACAAGACTTATACACGCACGTGCGAATGTAAAAAGGGAGTGATACAAAAACCCCGAGGGGAAAAAAATCAGCGCTGATTTTATTTTAAATGAAAACTTTTTTGTATTGTCATATGGAAAACAGATTTTTAGCAGTATTGCAGGACCGGAGAGCAAAACTGCTGTTTAGAAGCAAAACAAGACACAGGAGTCCTGTTGTTTCTCAGAAATAAGCTGCATTGGATTCCGTGGGAATTACTCACAAGGGCACACAGTCGGGTGACTTTTTCCTGATTGGCTGTAATTTAGAATCGGAGGGCGTGACTGAGACACCAATAAAAGACACCAAAGAGCAGAAAAGAGTGTTGGGCGGACTAAACAAACGCTTTTAGGACACAAGTCTTTGCATGCTTTAATTTTACAGCTGTCAGGATTCCCGAGCTGGCAGGACTGCAGGGGAATGCTGGAAGTTGTAGGATTATTTTTCTGTTTAGACAGGCGGAATGTTGCGTCTGTAGTCCAATCAAACTAGGGGTTTGTACGTTCGAATTCGAAACATTCCAGCCAATGGGGAAAGCCTTCACATCGGAAACTGGCAAGGCACTTAAATCGCCATTTTTGATTATGGAACGGAACTTGCAATTGACTAAACTGTTACGCCCTCCTTAAAAATGGCGACAGCATAACGCTGTGGGTCACATGCCAGGAAGCTACGCTACGGAACTTAGTCGGCGGGAGAGGGGGCAGGAACTGGGTTTGCTACCACCTCTAGTAACCATAGAGATAGGAAGGTTGACTCCTACGTCTGAAATAGTGTACGTCAGCTCACGGCACGCATGCGTATTGCGGAGCAATGGGTGGGGCAACCCGAAGAGATTGTAAGAGGATAGGCTCCGCCTTACGGCCTGTGGTTGAGGAATGATTTCCCGGAGCCGGGCTAGGGGGCGTGGCTGTGCTGTCCCCTCCCTCCCGGCTAAACAGCTGCCTGCCGGCGCGACCACCTGGTTGATCATGCAGGGCTCCCCCGCCATCTCCGAGGAGATCCTCAACTTCCTTGCAGGTTGGTGGGAGAAAACCAAAAAGATGCCCAGTTTCAAATAAGAATATTGAAAAGGTGGTTCTGGAAATCTACCTTTCATTTTTTTTGTTCTCTTCCGTCTGGGCTAAACTTTTTCTACTTGAATCGACTTTCATTAGATTTATTTACGTGTTTTGAAGTGTTGATAAATGGGACTCTAATTGCAGTTGAAATGTTTACTTGGGAACAAATGAAGAGGTTACTTCAAGGACATTAAAGTGCTTGGTTATGACCTGATATTCTTGGAACGTCAGACTCAGGTTGCACATCTTAGTGGCCTTGTGAGTGTGTGCGTAGGACAGGGGTGAAGATCTAGAAATCTAAGTCCAGAGTGAAGAATTAGCGCTTCATTATCTGCCAAAGAAAGAGGAGCTTATAAAGTTTTCATATTTACTTGTATTTTCATACATGGAGGGGCAGTTGTGATACATTCCCTATAGCTCACAATACATAAACTGAATGCCTCCTGTATTTGGTTAATACACTATTTGCATGATCATCTTGGCAAACTATTTTTTTTTTTTTGTATGTGGTTGACAACTTCCTCCACAGTTGCAGAAACTGCTCTTTCCTATCAGTTTCTCCCCTGCTTATCAGTGTTCCTGTTTTGCACTTGTAAGTATGCATATTAATCCTTCAGGATTGCAGCCTGTGTTTCCATGCTAAAAGTGATTCCTGTGCACATTTAGACAGAAGAAGCTCCTTGTGGAATTCCTCTACTAGCTGTGCTGACTGGGAATGCTGGGAGTTGTACAACTTTTTTCCATCTAAACAGGCATAGGATTGTGTGTCCTAAGTAGTTTAGGCTGCAAATCTAGCCTTACTTGCTTGACAGCAAGCCTTGTTGAACCCAATGGGACGACATGCATAATGTTGCATTGCTCAATTTGCTTAAATCATCACACTGAAGATTTATGATGAACAGCCATAAAAATGCAAATGGACATGTAAATGGCTTAACTGATAGCTAATTACTTTATTGCAGCATGAGCTGTCCCAAGAAAGAACTAAGGTATTAACAGGGTAATCTTTGTATGTATGCCTAATAAAAAGTGAGAACCATTGTTTTCAGGAGAACTTAGTCCTGGATAAATGAAGTCAGTTTGCAGCCTAAGTATGCTTGAAATAGCCAGTTAATGAGTTCATGCGCATGCACACACACGCGTGTGCATACACAGATCATCTTTTTTTACCAGGTGTTGCAAAAAGAAACTTTAAGCTGCTTAAAAATGGACTCTGAGACTAATTACATTAAAACCCACACACTCTTTCTCATTAGATGCCTGGGGTATCTTGACCAATTAAAGTCTCTGCTAATTGTTATTCTGCAGATTGTAAGTCTTCCTGATATTTTTTTAAAGTGCCTTTCAACTTCTAGAATGATGCTCAGACACTAACCATGTCAACTTTTTGAATTACGGTGTAGGCACCAGGAATTCTCCACAGTGCCTTTGGCTTACCAGTAGAAAAAGGTTGCTTCCAGCCGATCTTAATCCTATATTCATTTGTCTGTGAGTAAGCCTTATTGAACAAAATGGGACTGACTTCTGAATTGACATGGGACTGAAAAATATGGGGAACTGCTAGCCTCTGAGTTATCATTTTCTGCCTAGTTTTCAGGAGATTTCTGTTCTCTACACTTTGAAAGATGTGTGGATTAAAAGTAAAAGGAGGGAAAGATCCTTGTCTAGCATTGTGATGATGGTTACCCCTTCTGGCCTTTCTTTGTATTGCTCCTAATTCTGAGCTTTTTTTACTGAACTAATTAACTAGATGGGTAAAGACAAATTAGTAGATTTGCTAGGGGGTGTTGGTGAGAAGTGACTGAAAGCTCTTAGTCCATTTTGTTCCAGGACTAATTTTTGCAGGCTCGTAGGGTTTTATAATATTTCTGAATGATGTGGTTGCTAGTTTGTTGGACCAGGTTTCTCCAAGCTTGTCAACTGCTCCATATTTATTCAGTGGTAACAATGTGCCTGATCTGCATGTATGGATCCTGACTTAAAAGAGGAATATGAGAGGTGATGGGGAAAGAGTGTTAAATGTCAGCAGAGAGAGAGACAAGCACCCATACATTGCATAGGAGTGAAGTTACTTCTTAGTGGCTTTAGCAATAGGATGGATGTCTGTCTCTCTAATGACCAGTAGCACACAACTATAAAAGCATTTTGGGCAATCACTGGGTTGAATCCAGTGGTATCATTCTCTTGTTGGAACTGCTTTCGTCAGCAGAATTGGGAGGGGGAACTCTACTTTTATCCCCCATCCACCCTCAGAATCTGCCGTGGAGGTCTGGGAAACCCTCCCGAGCAGATTTTCGGGCAGCACAAAGAGCTGTGGGAGAGGAGGAGAAAATCCTTTTGGAGAAGAAAAACTGACAGACCCCCATTAGCATAATGTTGGATTTAACTCATTGACTTTATAAGGCATTGCCTGGTTTACAAGGAATAATGGAAGATAAGCCAGTTTTATCCTGGCTGACTGTGAATGAGCTGTGTGCCTGAGCCAGGATCCCTGGTCTGGATAACATGGTAAGCTTTCAGTTTCTGGCTGGTTTAGTAGAGGGGTAGGCAGCCTTTTTGTGCTGTGGACACATTTGAAAATTTGTGAGAACATCTTGACTGCCATTCCAAAAAGGCTGCCATGGGAAGTGTGGCAAAGGACAAATCTCCCCAAAAGACTTAGTACAAAAGTGTGCAGCAGGAGAGAGAGAGAGAAAAAACATGGCAAGAAATGTACCCAAGAGCTTTAACAGGAGAAGCCAAGTACATGGTAACAAGGCTATTCACACTTGGACATAGCTCATTTACTAATTTTTCATATGAATGCACCTGTGTTGGTACTTAAACATATTTTCTCCTGTGTGTCACAGCTAGGCACTGATAATTCTATTAAATTTCCAAGATCTGTAAGAAATCTGAGAAGTTTTGGGTGAACAGAAGGAATTAAAGAGAATCATTTTGTCTTCTATAGTTCATCTAATTTAATGGCCTTCGGTACAAACATATGAAGGCAAAAGTTTTCTTGCAGGAAAAGCAGAAGTTACTCTGCAAGAGTGTTCTTGAGGTTAACTCATTCCCCCATGCACTTTGATTTGTATGCAAAGTGTCATTTAACTCTCCAATGGAACTTAGAAATGCTCAAAACTTGACTTGGCTGAATCATGCCTGTGTAAGTCACAATTCTACAAAGAGTTGAGAGAAATGATGATACTGAATACTCGATTATTTTGTGACTATCCAAAACTGTTAGGTCCAAGATGTCCAACATATGCCACTCTGCTCTCGGAACAGAACCTGAACTATTTTGGATGAGCAATCTTTACAAAAAGTGAAAGTTAAGAGGACTGTGGATTGTGAATATGGATGATCTGGCTGAACCGATAAAGCTGATTTAGATGCCATGAAGAAAAGAATGGTAGCTGTCCTCTATTTCTCGTCTGTATCCTCAGTTAATGCAGTCCAAGGTAGAATATGATATTTTCTACATTTAGTTCTCAGACATAAAGACTTAACTCTTACAGGGCCTCATTTCCAATCTGAACATTACTGAAATGAACGTTCATCACAGAAGAATTCTGGCTTACTGGCTAAGACATAATCATTATGTGGATATCGTTTAAGCTGATTATCTTTGCAATTACCATATATTAACACAGTATTGAAATGAGACCAGATACATTGAAGTTAAAAAAGAGAAAGAGGGAGCCACTGACATTCTTGAAATGGCCTACAGTATTTGAAACATAAATTTGAGAATGAGTGTCAGATCTGTAATAAAAATGGGATAAGCTATTTTTTATATACTTATCAATTAGTTTTTTTAATTAAAATTGAGCCTGGTTGTCTTGTCTTTCTGCTGGCTCTTCTTCCAGTTATCTGTCAGGGTATATCTTAGTATAAAGCTTAGGTTCATGCTCTTGTCTCTTTTGTTGGAAACAAATTGATACCTATCCTAATGTTCAAGGGAAAAGTGGCCAATTTTTGTTCAAGCCATTATGGTTTTTTTCCTGTTCTATCTATTTGCTTTGGAATTAAATTTCTATATTCATAGAAAACCTGGAAGGGCCCAATAAAATAATCAGGTCCATCTCCCTGCTCATTTTCAGTGGGGTGCTTCTGCCATTACCTAAGTTCAATTTACACCAAAATGTAATGAGCAGCATTGTCAGCTTAACCCCAAAGTTTTGCAGTCCATTCTGCTCAGTTTTCTTGTAGTCTGGTAGATGGTTCTGTCTTGAGAGGAAGCTTTTTGTACCCACACCTGTGGAATGAAATCATTCTCACACTAGGATCTTCCACTTGCCTTTCCTACATTAAGTTAGCACTGTCATCTTCCCACATTTCTGAATATTAAGCTTTCTTTAGAACTCTTATTCTTATAATCACACATTACAGTTCTGGTGCTTGCTCTATTAAGCAAAGACTAAAATACATAGAGGTGGATATTCTATATTTTAAGATGTTTCCACCTATTTTGCTTTGCACTTAGGCAGTTTCTTACATCTGGTAACACTTAAAGCATATGAACTCTAAAGGTTAACTCACAAGCTGGGAATTTGTCCAGCTAAGCAATGAATTCAGTGTGTATTACAGCAGGAGCACCTCGCTTCACTCAGTAATTAACTGCTCAATCCTGTGCATGTTTAGACAGAAAACCATTCTGCAACTCCCAGCATTCCCCAGCCAGCAAGTGTAGGATTGCTCGCTCAGTGGGTAATGGTTTAATTGCAGAGGGAATGGCTATCCCTTGCTCAGATTTTCCTGGCCAGGTGTAATGCGCAGGGAAGCTAAGAACATAAGAATCTTGCTGAATCAGACCTACCTAGTCCACCATGCTGCTTGTAACACTGATCAAACAGAAGCTTCTAGGAAGACAAACAAGGAGGCCATGAAATAACAAGTGGGCTTGTTCCCCAGCAGCTGGCCTTACTGCATGTGAACACAGACATTCCTGTTAGCTAGTGACAGACCTCCCCTCCATTAATTTATCCTTTAAAAAAGCCATCTGAGCCAGTAACCTTTGCCACATTTGGCAACAGAGTTTTCCCTAAGTCATCCTTCCCTGACCTGATGTCATCCAGATGTTTTGGAGTATAATTGCCAGCATTCCTGACCATTTGCCATGCTGGCTGGGGTGATGGGAGATGACATCCAAAGCATCTGGAGGTCACCAAGTTGGGGATAGCTGCTGCAAGCAAGTGGTATGATAGTTTCATTTTATCTGTTTTGGGCCTATTGATAATTCATGTTATGAGCCACTCCACATTTTAGTATTCAGAGTAAGAGTGCTTTCCATCCAGTCCTCCAATACCAAGCATAATTTTACAAACTTAATTCCTGTTTCCATTAATAACTGCTATTTTTCTGCTCTAAAAAGTCCTGCATGTTTTAGTAGTTCCTTATATGAAAGCTCTGCTATATCATATCCTTTGCTCTTGTGACAAATGACATTTTTCTATCTCATCTGCAGATGTGTGATATCCTTCTTAAGCTGAGGTGACCAGATATTGTATACAGTATTCTAAATAAATGTGTATTGTACAGTCATGTAAAACCTGCTATAAGAACCGATTAAGCCTAGTATTCCTCAATACCCAACAAGATTCCTCTGGGAAACAGCCCTCTCCAGCTGTAGTTTTCCAAAGTACTAGAATTCAGGAGCATGTTGCATCTGATCCTGAAGGTAGCATAGTCATCATTACTAGTAGCCATTGATGACTTTACCTTCCTTGAAATCCATATCCTGGTCCATTCCCTGGGGTAATTTGGCCAATTTATCTGCTCACCCTTGCTGTAAGCTTTTCTCCTTCAATGGTACTCATCTGGCTTGAGTATCAGCAGTGACGGGGTGGGTGGGGGGAGAAAAGAGCGAGATCTCATTTAAGTGGGTAAGTGGGGGAATTTGTCTCCAGCTAAAATTCTGATCTCAGCCAGGGAAGAATTTAGGAGCATTGCAATGTTTACCTGTTCCTGGAAGTGCACATTGCTAACTTTCAAAATTTAGCAAAACCTAGCAGGCTTCGGTAGCGTCTCTAGAGTTTTCCTCCAATGTTGCTATCTCTCAGTGCTCACATGAATCCAGAACTGTGCATGATATATTGACAACCACTCAAGAGTTGAACTCTCATTTCAAGAGTTCAGCTTCCTTCCACTGAAGTTGTTGGGGCACCTATTTCACTGTCACTATTTATTAGTTCCATTTGACGTGTAGACATAAATATATTTAAATGACAAATACTTTCTCAAATATTTGCTAGGGATAATAGCTTGAACAACATTGATTGCAATTTTGAAATTCCCAAGTTTGCCCATTATTGTATTTATAGCTGTTACCATTTTTTTATTGCTATCAATGAACTTATGAACCTGAATCTTTTAGCAGAAAAAGAAAGCACTGGAATATTTTCCAGAAAATGTGCAATTTAGGATACTTTCTGCCCCATATCACTGGTATCAGATCTGTCCACAGAGTGATTCTGCTGCTACCACTGAAGTTACTGTTCAGTTTAACATAACATGGAGCTTTTAACACAAACAGTTCCAAGACTGTTATCAGTATAACTTCGCAGAAAGATACTATGTGACTATGGTCACATTTGAAAATGGGCTTTTGTTAATGAAAGTGCCAAATGTGATATCTTGTAGCAATCATGTATGCATTAAAGCAGTTTATTGTCTTCTAGCTTTTATTCCTCAAGTAATGGCGTGTGTATATATATTTTACACACTTTGACAGTTTATTAAAACTTGTTGGATTTTTGTTCATTTAATGATAGCAAATGTCAAAACAGCATTTGCTGTGCTAAGCATAAGCACAGCAGTGAACAAATCTATCCAATTTAGAGTTTGAAATATCTTTCAATTATATTATGCCTAGGACTGATAAAGTAACTCCATTAGATAGTTTGGCTATTATTGCCTTATGAAAAAAGCCATAATAGAGGTATTTATCTTATGAAAATTATCATTTCTTCTTTTGACTCATCTGTCTCTCTCCCTGACCCCCCCCTTTTCTTTCATGATTTAGATGTTGACACATTTATATCAGATACCCTAAAAGGAGAAAATTTATCCAAAAGAGCAAAGGAAAAGAAAGATGCGCTGATTAAGAAGATAAAAGACATCAAGTCCAAGTAAGTAATTATGTCTCTATATGGTGTGTTTAATACAGAAAGTGAGTTTGCAACAAACCTGTGGTGTAGGTTACTGATTTCCATTTTATAGATGGAACAACTGAGCTGAAAAGTTGCCCTTACAATAATCCAAAGGCCCATTAAATCATAGCTTAGTGGAGGCAGTGGGAACAGGGACTTCGACTCCAGGCCCCCAGTGTGACCACCAGACCCCTTACCATTCACCAGACCCCTGTCACTCACTTGGACGTTTTCCTCTCCTTTACACCCATAGCTTCTAGTTGCCTGACTTTCTGCTTTTGCCCTTCTCTACTTTCATTCTTTGCCAACTAGTCTTCTTCCCCTTCCATACTCCATCCCTCCATTTTTTGGTACTTTGCCAAGAATGGATTGAGGGGTAGAACTTAACCCTCCTTGGGGCATCAGAGTCCTTGGAGGAGGACAGAGTCCTTTTCCCATATACCTCCTCCCCTACCCTGGTTAAACTCAGTGGAGCAAGATCACGTCATAGGGGAAAAGGGCCCCTGCTACAAGATGGGTGATGGGGAAGCCCACCCATCCCCAAGGACTCTTTGGCCAACAACATCAGTGGGGGCTGAGCCTTCCTCTACTAGCCCCAGTATTTTCCAACTGGATATCCTTTCCTCAACTTTAAAGTTGTCAGAGCAACATTGCTCCATAAAGTTTAATAGAGGTGGGGACAAGTATCCCCTGCTGCAAAAAGGCTAGAGGATGGAGTGCAAGAAGTGTGAGAATCAGGGTAAGGGGCTGGGCAAGAAGAGGGGATATCACAGATGAGCCCAAGAGCCTGAAAGGATTGCCTTTCCCTGGCTTAGTAGTACGAGAACAAGACATAGCAAGCCTTGGGCTTTTCCCTGCCTCCTTTTTTAGTATAGCTTTCAGAAGCTTCCTCTTGCATTCTGCATTAACTGAAGCTTGCCCTTTAATCTAGATCTGACAAGCATTAGTTCATTTGAAGTTGGCTTGTTTGGTTAATCTTGACTATGGTCTGTTTCAGTTTATCAGGCTGGACATAGTTGATATAAAATGGGAACAGAAGCATCTGCAATCCAAATGACTACAAGGGGAGTTTAGGCATGTTCTTTTAGCAATAAATGATTGCTTGGGGTTACGTTTGAAACAGGCCTGCTAAATCCCAAGTCATAGTCATTTGCTGGGGAGGATATTTGTTACTGTTGTGCCTGTGTGAGTCTCATAGGGCTTTTAAAAATGTAACCGGTGATAAAGCTGCACAACCGTTCTCTCCTTCCTTTTTCCCTCCATCTATGACTATTTTATTTTATGAGGCTATAAATAAAGTTAATTTAAAAATTTTTCTTTGGAAACTGTTCTCATGTCCCATGTTAGAGTGCTTAAATAACAAGACTTTCCCCTTCCAAAAAATGTTAGTATCACACTTCTCATATTTCCTCTTCCCAAGTAAACATGTGTTTATTTTCCATGAAAAGAGGACTAAGAGGATGGGTGCAGTGGCTAAAATATGATAAGAAATTTTTAGATATAAAAAGGCCCTCAACCACCAAATGTTGCGCTATGTTACTCAGGATTATCTACTAATTGGATGTGCTTCTGCAGGTGATTTTTCTGCCTGAAAGTAGCATGAGAACAATCCTTGTTCAATTTTCCATTTGGATCAGTAGGGTGGGTATCACTTGTCTTTCTCTATTGGGTCCATTTGAGAGATTTTCTTTTGGCTTGGAGTAGACAGTTATTAATACCATGGGTTGTGGGTGGTTGCAACCATTTTGGCATTTTGAGAGCAACCCAAGGGCTTTGTTAGATTAAAAATCATTGAGACATCTTGTATTCATTGCTGGGGTGGTGGTGATCTGCCTTTAAACGCCTTAGACTAGGTAGCAGGCAGAAAGGCAATCTAAGAGCTTCTGTGCTTCAAGCTGGGAGGTCTGTTCTCCTAAGGGCCTCCAATGTGCAGAAATTGGAATTTAGGAAGCCAGCAATCTGAAATGAATACCCTGATCAGATCTTGTGCCAGTGCTTGTCAGCTATGTGAGCTTGTAGAGACCAGCATTTATTGAAGCATCCAGCACATCTGAGATATGCAAATTGAAACGGCTGAGTTGGTGCCCCAGTCTTTGAAATTAAGAATGCTAGCACTCTCAGTTATCTTACCTAGACAGATGGTTTACCTAATGGGTTGGGGGATGGCAATCTGCCTAATCTATAAATAATTCTTTCCTGAAAATTGAAGTGTTGTAGAAGAATGCAGTGAAAATTCTGTGGTCATTATGTGACTAGACAGGTATTTGAAAAGTGCTTGCTCTGAACAGGAGAAACTACCTACTTCTAGCTGTTCTTATATGCTAATTCACAGAACCGCAGCTTTTGCCTGCTTCATTTAGGACAAAAGTGTAGAAGAGAATGTGGGTACCTAAGTAGGTTCTGCCCCCAGCTTTGCCATTTACACTGTTGGCCACTGGATCTCAGTGCCTCTCAAGCACAATCCTATGCAATTTTAGATGGCAAAAAGGCCTGTAACTCCCAGCGTGCCCCAGTCAGCATGGCTGCAGTTGTAGGGATATTTTTCTCTAAACTTGCAGTGGGTTGTTCCTTGTAAGCACAAGGTGTACCCTACCGCAGCTTTGAATCATGGACCATGATGTACTCATGGGGTGCTTTACAGACCCGTGCACTGAATGGGCAATGGCCTAACTGAAAGCTGGGAGCGCAGGGACATCAGGGATGTGATTTAAGGGCCTGCCTTAAATACACTGTTGCACACAAGCAGTCAGGTTTCTGCATAGGGCTATCATCTCTCCAAGGTTATTTATGCAGGGATAGGGCTGCCTGGAGAATGGGGAACCAGGCAATGCAGTGGGTATCTGCATTCTTTCCTGAGAGTGTGGCTTGTCCGTATTACTCTTTGTTGCTTGCTATGAGCAGGGTGTGTGTTAGTTATACCTACCAAGGAGAAGTGTGTCTGCTGGAAGGCAGTCACATTTAGCACTGTTAAATGGGGCTTAATTGATTTTGGGTGGGGCTGAATGCAAAAGGGGACAAGATGAAAAGCAGTAAAAATCTCAGCATATGTCAGCTTAACTTTCTTAAAATGTTAAACCAGCCTAAGCTAGTTTTCACTTCAGCTTCTCTCACAGTTGCTGTCTTAAAATTTTAAAAGCATACAGCCATCTTAAGACTTTTCTAAACACTTATCTTCTCTTTCCCATCCCTCACTTCCTCTTCTGCAGCTTCCCCCAAGAATTTCCCGAAAGAGGTAAGACTGTCTTTTTGTTTTTATGTGGCTTGAATATGTTGCATCATAGTACACTTTCCAGCTGATCATAGGCTTATTTAATCAACTGTACATTTACAATCTTTCCAGATTGAAGTGTCCAAACTGTGCTCATATTGACTTGTTCTTGGCTGAGAGTGCTAGCTCCCCCTCATGGAGGAAACTGTGGAAAGCTTTCTCTGTTTTCTTGCTTAAGTTTTTGTATTAAAAAACAAAACAAGGCGTAGCACAAGAACAGTGACCCCCCCCCCAAACTCTTCAGATTTAATCAGGGACTTAATTGCTTTAGCTTCCTCACGTGAACCCCAAATGAACAGTACATTCGGCATCAGCTGAATGTCCGGAAAATAGAAATTATTTGCAGTACATATGCTTCTGAAATGGAACAAATATACTGCAGTTTGTGTTGAGCACTAAATAATATAGGCACCCCCCCCCCAAAGCGAAAGCAAAACAAGCAAAACAACCTTGCTTTCTGCTTTCACTAGTGCTGTGCTTTGTCTTCTGAGGTTAGCATATGGGAACAAGATCTGAAATGCTGTAATGGGAAACTGAAATGCGCTTTGCATATCATCTTCTCGTGGTTATATTGAGGCAGACCTTTATAGGCTCATTAAAAGCAAGCTGATACAGTGGCCTGTTCTGAGGCTGAACCTGGAATGGCCCTTATTTTCATGATGCTAATTTGTGAGGTCATGACCTGCAGCCTGTGAATGCTGGTATGAGGGTCACAGCATGAGGTCAAAAAAGCATATGTGAAACTACAGTAGGTTCTCTTCTCTCTGTTACCCTCTGCCCCTGCCTTTCCATAGGATATGCAGGAGATAGTAAACAATATTTATTTCAACTAAGGGTTTAGACACAAGCCTTCAGAAGGGATACTTCTAGTTTACAAATACGATTTAGCTGCAATTTAGTTACATCTCCGGAACAGAAAAAGTGTTGTTATATATGTTTACTTTCAGTCCTTTGTGCAGTGACAATTGAATTTGGAAATAAAAGGACAAAACTGCTAGTATTTCCTGATTTTGCTCTTTAGTACATTTTTATTATGTTCAAAGAAGAGCATAAAACAAATTGATCTGCATTGCAGAATGTTTGTAGGAGGAAAATCCCCTTAAAACTCTTACACAAACTGATTCCAGTCCAGGGCAACCCAGATGGAAACTCTTTCTGCATGTAAAGAGTGGCTTTCCATTTGTTTTCTGAATGGCAACAAAAGCTGCTGTGGGGGCTGTTTAACCAGCTAGGGGCACTGGGTATATGAGTCTCGGCTTCTGGGTAGGGAACTGTATGTACAGCTAGGTTCTATTCTCACATTCCTTCCTGATCCAGCAGCCAGGACAGCATATAGAGATGCCTTCGATGGTAACATCTGTGTGATCGGCATTTATGGAGTGCAGGAAGGCAACTGAATTGGCTATCCTTTGGAAGGTCTGGGGAATAAATGTTCACTCCCCCCCTACCATTCTTTTTCTTCTCAGTTGGTATATGCAGTTTGTCAGCACTGATGTGGACCCTCTTTGTGTGTGAGGCCCAGTCCATTTGTTTCCCCACTGCCTACAATTTCTTCCCAAAAAGACCTGATCAGTGCAACTTAATTTTTCCAAAAGAACTTTGAACATGAAGCATTAGGTTTTGTGTTCCGTTACATTGGAGTAAAAGGGAATATTAAAAACAAATTGGGATGCTGTGTCTGCATGCATGTGTAACCAAACATGACTTCCTAGTTTATAATGAAAATCAGCATGCAAATAGAAATGTACTCCTGGTGTGCATCTAGAGTCTGGGCAGATACTTAAGTGGGCGGCTCCACTTAGAAAACACTGTAAATGTCTGTTAATGTTTCCAGTATGAAAATGATATGCCTCTGAATGTAGGATGTATTCCTGATGCACAAAAAAGAGCGTATGCAGGGCTGCATGAATTTACAGCAACACAAATTAATATTACTGATTCAGTCTTGCCCTTTTTCCTGGGTCAGTGATAGGTAGAAGGAGTATGTGAGGCAGACGTTCTGTATTTAGTAGATACATTTATTTCATTGCATGTATTTCCTGCCCTTCTTTGTATTATAAGTTACTTAAGGTGGCTTAAAAGGTTCTCCTTTCCATTTGCTCCTCATAACAACACCCCTGTCAGGTAGGCTAGACAACTAGCCCAGTGCCACCTAGTGAGCTTCATAGCCAAGTGGACACTGGTACCCTGATGTCCTGAGTCCCTATACCACATATTTCAGAGCATCAGATATTTTAATGGTTGAAATAGATGATCCACAAGAAGAGGTGCATGAATAGGCTCCTGGTAGTTAATTTTCTGATTACTGTCACATACCTTGCCTGCTTTTCCACATATGGGAGCAAAGATACGGTATTCTTACTCTTGTAGGGGGGAAAAGTCAAGTGTGGGTGGGAAGTCCTGATTCAGTTTGAGGAACTCCTGGATAAAAAAGTGCTCTACCACTCCTGTAGTTAAATTCACAGCTGCCTTTTCTCTAATCTGTATCCTCAGATCTCAGTTTGCTGAGCAACTCATCTTGCACGTTCAGCACATGCTGAATCATTACATGGGAACACCGTTTTTTGGCCCTGGGGGCCACATCTGTATTTATAGATTTTTCTGTGAGCTGTTCAGAGACGAAAGTGGTTGGATGGGCTAGAAATATCCCAGATAGATAGATAGATAGATAGATGATAGATAAAGCATTTGCTGGGGCACAGGCACCATTGCACATGTATCCTCTCTCCCCCACCCCCAAGAATGCTTTCCCATATTAGTACTAGCAAGGGAAACAAGGAAGGGCATTGTTTGTTGGTCCGTTCACACACATGCTTGAATTTGCACGTGATTTCTCTCCCACGTATGTGTCTACATGCACTCTTCATGTCTGCACATAACATTCAGACATTCTTCTCCCATTCCACCTACATACACTCTGCAGACAGGACTTTTCTTACTAGTGCTGTCCAGGCAACCAGTTCCCTTATCTCTGATCTGTCAGGAGATAAGGGAGGTTTTCCCTTGCTAGCCCTTAAGAAGGGGGAGTTTGGGCAGAGTCAGCATGGCTCTGCAGGCCCGACTGGGAGTGGCCCATGTGGGAATTTTTCTACATTATGCCTTTCCCTTTGACTTTCATGTCCCATGATCTGGAAGCACTGGGCAAACATTGGGGTGGCTGCTGTAGCTTATAAGGGACGTGGTTTGCATGCAGGAGGTCCCAGGTCAAACAGATAAATAGTTTCAGGAACATACTAGAGGTATGTATAGCAGTTTTGTATGTTCATGTATCAACCCTGCTACCTAAAGGCATTCACATACTTTTATTGGTGGTAAGTAGGTTACTCCTGAGCTCAGAATCTGGACATATGGTTTTTTATGAAAAATGTTTCATACGAAAGTGAAAGCTTTCAGGTGTGGTAGTTCTATACAACCCAAAAAAAGAAAGCACAGCAACCATTCCCAAACTGTGATCTCTTTCATATGTTATGACAGCCCACCATGGATTAATTGACCCATGGAGGCTGTTATATTGCACTGGGAAACCATGGTGTCATTTTTGTAGGGCACTTGTTGGTGCCCAGTTTACCATGGCTTGAGTGTCATGCAAACTGAGCAGGCAGAGGTTCTTTAGGGGTCAGGCAATCCCCCAATAACCAGAAAAGAAGCCATGAGTTCTTGGATGGTTCTGTAACCCCCAAACATCTCCAGGGATTTGCACAGAACTACAAGCCACAATAAGCTGGGGTGCTGTCAGGCACCATGAAAAATGATGCCTTGGTCAGTTGCCACAACACAATAGCCCCGTGAGTAAATTGACCCATTGTGGGCTGTTGTGTTGTGCAAAGCAAGGCAGTTTCGCTACTTAGCTACTGCCACAAAAAATAAAAATGGAATGAAACCAGGAAAAGTGGTTGAAGTGTGTGTGTGTACTTCCTCTAATAAACACACATGCATCACAATAAATTGGTTAACAGTCCTGGCAGAGTCATTTTGAAGCCAGAAGAATGAGCATCTTGTTTCCAGCGGAACGTGGTGCAGTAGAAGATGCAAAAGCTAAAGTCAGTTGTGTGTTCGATGAATGTTGAGCTGTTTCATTCTCAGAGCAGCATTATCACTGTATTGGAACATGCTATGTATATCTAGGGATTTGGAGGCCTCCCCATAGCAACAGTTTATGTTGAAGATATTGACTTAAAAATGTGTTGAAGAGTGGTGGGTTTTTGTTTTTGGTGGGGGTAGATTCTCTGGTAGAACACAAATATTGACAGCATTTCTGATAATAAACCAATTGTTGACGAGCATGAATGAGAGACAATGTTGTGCCAGACAATTCTATAAGGAACTCTAAAATACTCATTCTTTGGTATTCAGCTGAGGCAAAGTCAATCTGCAATCTTTATTGCGGTAACTGGGAATTAAAGGGTAACCTCCATTCATAATGGATTTAAGTGTCTAGCTTCCCGTATTAGCCCAACACCATTATCTGCTAGGATCAATAAGCAAATACATACTATAAATGAAAAAATGTTGTCTAATAAAGAAGGGTCAGGTACTTTGTGTTGTATTGTAAGCAACTTAAAAAATTCTACAATCAAAATGTTAGTGTCTAAATTATGGAAGAAAGAAAATAGGAACAGTATATTTTTTCCAGTAACCATTAACTGTGCTTAATTGATGAAACTTTTTTTTAAAAAAAGTTCTAGGATAAATCAAAGGTTGTTCTGGGGAAACCATATTAATGAGCATTAGCCTCTTAATTATCCTCCTGGCTACATTGCAGGGACACATTCATGCCTTTTCTTTGTGTAATAACTTTTTATAAAGAAGTATTTTTAAACTGATCATTAATTTTATGACTAGAGAAATGAGATGCAAAATTTATGCTGTTGTCATTGGCACAGGCTCAAGGCACCACTGACATTATGCATGATTATAATGGAATGGCTGCCCGCTAATGAGTCTATAGACATTTTGTTTGAACA